TCGTGGATTGGGGTCAAGTTTTTGCCGCGTCCCTCAAATTTTTTTGCGGGTCGACCACGTTTGCGGGGCTTGTTCGGGCGGGATTTCCCGCGCCGACCCACATTTTGGCGGTTATTTTACGGATCGGGCCTTTTTGCGGGGTCTGCTAGAGTTGCTTTAAGCCTTGGCTACCTCCTACTACAAACTGCATTGCTTTATCTGTTGATGGATTTTTCTCAGTTGATTCTGGCGCCATGACCGCATGGATGATTCTCCGACGACATAATGGATCAATTATTTTTGCGGCATACCGGTATATTTCCAGTCGCATTGATACACTGAAAGTGAAGATACATGCACTTATGCAAGGGATGACATTTGCTATACAATACTTCAATCTTTCGGTGATTGTTCAATCTGATTCTGGTGTGGCTTTATCAAGTTTGACAGGAGACGGATTAATTCGTTCTGTCTATGGACATCTCGTAACTGAAATTAAGACGAGGGGCAGGAAGTTTATATCTCAGAAATTAAATAGGGATCAAAATAAAGTTGTCGACCGCCTGACAAATTAATAGTCACATAGAGTGTATCAGGTTGTATGGATGCATCTAGAACCATCATGTATCGATGATCTTTGCCTCTCTATTGTAATTCTATCCATTTGAAATAAAACTCTAATTCTATCCATTTGAAATAAAACTTCTTTTTCATCATAGAAAAAACCTTCGGGTGCACGTCGAATCAAATGACAGCAGGAGCGAGAGAAGCCCGGGTGCGAGACTTTTATTCCAGGCGCGACATAGACATAAATGGTTTTAAATCCCATTCCGCTGTGGCAAGTGAGGGCTCGCTGACAGCATAGATACAGTGTCATTTCATTGGTCGTTTCAGACTTTGAACACTAAGCAACTTGTGTATGAACAGTACTGTCTAATACTACTACCACACTGGTAGCTGAGCTAGAGTACAATTTACAAGGTGGCGCCACTTTGTACTCTCCAGCCACGAGCCGGGGTCTGGCCGGGCGAAGTAAAACTGAGAAGAAGAAAAAGAAGACGGCCCATGCGGCCGGGTGCCGCTAGAGACGGTGAGCGGGGACGAGGCCGTCGTCGAAGTTCTGGAAGTAGCTCTTGGAGTCGTACCCGAAGCTCACGGCGCGGCGCTTCGGCCGCAGCATGGCGCGTCTCACCCTCCAGAACAGCTGCCTCACCGGCGCCGGCGCCTGCCGCCACGACCCGCCGCCGCTCTTCCTGTCCATCCTCTTCGGGCCTCCCATGCTCCTCGGCACGTCCAATGATCCTCCCAGAAACTCCATCAGTCCTTGATGAGTTGATGCGGACGAGGACGTACGGCTCTACTGATCTTCTGCAGCTGAACGTAGCTCTTCTTCGATGGTTAGGTAGCTTTTGATCTGAGATGAACGCACCGTTTGCACAAAATGAAGCTCCCCAGCAGCCGTTTTATAAGCTCGCGGAATGGACGAGACTCTGGCCGGCCCCGCCATCACTGACACGCACTCACGGCTGACGAGAATAATCCACTTTACACAACGATTAGGCCATGGGAAAATCACATTTCGGACATCTTTTCCCATTGCCACCCTTAAACTACACACCTACAGTCAAAGATCAATGCTGCATCCAAAGAGCGAAAGGGTCGATGGAGGCCTCGTGTGGTGTCGACACAGGCTGTTGCATCGTACCGCGAAAGTGAATTTCGCTTTATGCATTAATAAAGCAACGTTGAAACCATGTGGTCTCGTGGTTAGTGACGACTCATATATCTGATCATGAAGATATACTAGTTCTTGGGGACAAAACCTTATCAGAAAAGAAAAAGAAAAGGAGAAGAAAGACGATGATTGCATGTTGACGCTTTACACGCACGACAGTCGTGGCGCATATATCCATTGTTCAGTTAAGGCTCAAGATACGGGATCTGCCGCAAGTTCGCGATTGCAGTGACACAAGCCACATCACAAAGTTAGCAGCAGTAAGCACTTTCAACTTTTTTACAGCCCTAGGGATCAACAAACCCCTTGCATGTGGTCTTATCCTTAGACCAACAACATGTATATACGATAACAACATCATAAGGATAATGAAGATAAATTGACAATTCAAAGCTTTTGCGGTGGAACAAAGGTTTAAGCTTTTGATTTTGCTTTTGAAAAGCAGAGAGTAAAAGACAGATCACTAGCGCTTGAACCGACATCTATACGAAGTTGCCCACCAGCTAGGACCAGCACAATCCAATCAGCTACTCCACACATGACATAAAGGACGGGGGTCGTTAGTAGTATGCAATGGTGATGCATATATCCAAGTCATTTGTCATCTATGATGACGGTCTTCTCCTAGCTAAGGCATCAAATAGTATGGGTGAACATGTTTTGTAATGATGATTCCACAACACATTGACCAATAGTTACTTTTTAGGTACATTAGATGACCTGTTGCACCCATGACACAAAACCAAATACGGCCGAGAAGTGATGCTAACTATATGGAATTGTATTTGAAACGAACTATAAGGAACATGTAGATATATAAGATGGGTTCCGATTTGTTGACGCTCAAAAGTGGCACAAGGAACAAAATAGGAAGGATCACAAAGAATGAGTTAAATCCATAGGAATATGAAGTCAAATTTGATAATTGGAGTTCACCATTGATGGCCCTGTTCAAGAAGAACAAAATGTATAAGAATAGCCCAAAGCGGAGCTCGGCCGCGAAAGTTATGACCAGTTCAAAGGGGCATATCTTTGACACCATGTTTTGTCTTGCATAGAAATGTTCTCAAGATGGCTCAACATGAATGCCTGAATGAAATCATATGTGAACGAAGTAATTATGATTATTTTCCTTTCCTGAACAGGGACATGACTTTTATTATAATTTTCTCTTTCGGTTAGAATGGATGGGTTGTAGCACTGATTTTCTAGGTGCATTTCAGTGTTGTCGTTTTATAATAGCAATTTGAAGATTGTTTTTGTTCAACAATGTTATTAATGGTTTAATGTGAAGAGTTTAATGTATTCCTTTTATAGATCACGGTGGCTTGAAGGTTTGGGGCGTCCTTCCGATACGCTCCTGCCTCCTCCCGAGTCGCCCCCGTGTGGCGGCCGGGAGGCTCCCAGATCCCATCGCTCGGCCTCCCCTTCTCCACCTCCTCCTCCCTCGCCGCCGCCCAAGGGCGCGGTAGGGCGAAGCCTTGCCGTCTCTCCGACGGTGGCGGGGACTCGGGGCCCTCCCGCTCGTGAGGGGCTGGCGTGGGCCGGCGCCCCCGGGCCGGAGCATGGTGTTCGACCGGACGTCACAGCGGGGGGTGGCGGCGCTTCGGTGATTCCATACCTCCACGGCCGGCAGCTTGACGGTCTGGGGCGTCGCGGTCGTCAGGAACGGCGGCGGCGCGACCGGATCAGGGCCCAGGCGTGGGTTTGGTCTCCGGGTCGCGGTCGGCGCGGTGGCGGGTGCGACACATCAGTAGCTGGGCGGATATGTGGATTCCATCCTTGTTTGGTCCTTGTCGGCGCGGGCAACTCCGTGGGAAACTCTATATCTCCTTGGGATCGAGCGATGGCGGTGCTTTTGCGTCGTAGTCCCTCTTCGGGGCATCGTTTTGGAGTTTGCTCTGGTTGAAGGGACCAGTGACGCCGACGGCGCACGCCCGGTGGCGCAAGTGCCGACTCCGGTCATGGCGGACGATAGCGGCATCTTGGATGTCGTTTCCTTGTCGAGGCATCGTCGTTGCAGTTTGCGTCATCAGGCTCGAGATGCTCCGGGGGAAACCCTAGATCTGGTTCTCCCGGGTCGGACGATGATGACGTTCTCTGTATCGCTTTCCCTCCTGGGGGCATCGTTTTGGAGCAAGTGATGGATGGAGGTGGCAAGAGGAGGAGCGGTGTTACATCTACCGCAAGGCCGGCGGCGGATCACGGCGGCATGGCGCTGTGGAGTTTCGGCGATGGGCGCGCGTGGATGGACACGTGCAGGATGGTGGCGTTGTCTGGCGTCGTGGTGGCGTCGACGACAGGCCTGGCAAGGTTGATGTAGTAGTACAACACTGAAGATGGATTGGTGGCAGGTGGCTGCGGCGGCCTCATACCCGACAGGCGTCTTGGTTGAGGAGTGCGCCGGACTGGTGGATGCCCATACCTGGCAGGCATCCTGATTGAGACCTCGAGTCTTAGATGTTAGGTTTGACTGTGGGGTCTGTTTGGTATTAGGCCTAGACTATCAGCACTCCTTCATCAACTGGATAGGAATGACGACAGATATTGCCTAGACGGTGGCTTTAGTCTTACTGTTGTATGACTTTATAAGGTCTTATGAATAATTAGTAAAGTGGCTGCATGCATCGTCTAGATGCAGATGTCGGGGGTCCTCCTCTTTTTCTAAAAAAAAGATAACGGTGGCTTACTCTAAACTATCGAGGCAACCATTCAAAGGAGGTTGTCGACAATGAGGCAACAAGGAAGAAGAGTGCATCTGTTGCCTTGTCTAACTCGCCAAGATCAGGCTCGCGCTATTGCTCATATTCTTGCGGGTTGAAGTTCACATCATCTACACCAATCCCATGACGTGATAAGCAAGTGGCGCTGAAATTTTCCAAGCGCATGTCCCAGTAGAGTAGTATTTCTTTCTTCAGGTGCATTATTGTATTTCTCATTATTATTTTCAAATGCATGTTCCAGTGTAGTGTTTCTTTGTTTTCAAAATGCATGGTCTAATTCAGATAATTAGTTTCAAGATGCCACCATCAGATGTTACCAGGATCGTTCGCAACCTGCAGATATTTAGCGTTGTCTTGTAGTCAAGTTGCAAAGCTTTTAGTTGTCTAGATTCGGTAAGAAAAGAAGGCTAGCTTGTTATCTATACTGTTGTCTGGCTATTCTGGTTGGAATTTGACTTACTATTCATCATCTAATTACATTTTCATTGCTTCTTATTAGGCCTGAAATTCCGGATGGGGTGGTTTCACTTGCTTCGGCACGCAGAACATTTTTTTTTTGAAAAGGCGGGACTTCCCGGCCTCTGCATCAGAGCGATGCATACGGCCATAATTATAAATAAATAAAGTAGTTCAACAAGGTCTTGCAATCTGTTGTAAAAAAGTAGGCTGACTCACAAAGAGCTAGAAAAACAAAAAAAGCCCCAAAAATCACAACCGCCTGGCATAAGATAGATAGATAGATAGGTAAACTAATCGCCTATCCTATTACATGACCGCCATCCAAACCGGTTGAAGATAACATGCGCTACCATCTCCCACCGGACAGATCCAGTAACCAAACGCTCATTGGCCTCCGTCGGAGTGAGTAAGGACCACATACGGATTAGCGCAGTAGCCCGGAATAAAACCTGCAAAAAATGAATAGTTGTTATTCTGTTAAAAGCCAAATCATTTCTGCAGTTCCAAATTGCCCATAACAACGCACATGCTCCTACTCGAATTTGTCTAGCTGTTTCGGCCTCTATACCAACAAGCCACGTTCCAAATAACGACCTGACCGAATTCGGAGGAGTAATGTTAAAGGCAATTTGTACCGAGCGCCACAACACTCTCGCCA